GGGATACACTGTAAGCACACAGTAGGTGATATAATCACATATGGGTTACAAAAGTTGCTGTAAACATGGAAAAACCTTCAGCTAATCTGAAAAAATAGATTTTACTCAGACATCAAGCATTTTTAAAAATGTTGGCTCAGTTTTACATAATTTCATGATATTTAATAAACTGAAAAGATTTCAATGGCAAGCTGTCACTTCATATTTTACAGTGTTTTGTTTTGAATACTTTGATGCTATTTGCTGCCAAAAATTTGACGGAGAGATCTTGAGGCTGATTGGGTATATTTAACGGACTGTTTGGTACTCGTACCCTATTGGTGCAGAATAATAGTTTGTTAAATTGTGAAATCCACCCTTAGTTTACTTTATTAAAAATTATTTGAAGAAAGTTAAATGGATTCGGTTTTTACGAAAACTGTTTAAAACAATCCCCATTTGTTCGATTAACGCAAAATCTTGCTCGGCGAATTCACGACTCTTTGCAAGCTTCGAAAATAAAGTCCTGGTGTCCACGAATTAAATCACAAGCATTTTCAGTGCGCTGTTGAAGTTCTTCCAGAGTATTTACTGCTCCGTCATGATACACCAACTCTTTCAAGTAGCCCCACAGAAAAAAATCGCAAGGAGTTAAATTCGGGGAGCGAGCAGGCCAAGAAATGAGTCCATTGCGCCCTATCCATCTAACATATTCGGAAACTCATTAATTAAATGTTAAATGAACTTCTCGTCTAAAATGTGTTGAAGCCCCATCATGTAGGAACCACATATTTTGTCTCACATTTAGACGAGGAACATCTAATAATTGTAGCAGATTGTGTCGAAGAAAATCTAAATAAATTTCACCGGTCAGTCGAGGTGAAAAAAAAGTAGTGTCCAATAAGCATGCCATTTACCACGCCAGCCCAAAAATTCAATGAAAATCTATGTTAAAAATGAGTTCTTGATTGTTGTGTAAAGTGTGCACACCATTTCGTGTGAATGTGGCCTCGTCTGTATACAAAACTAATTTTGTGAAATCTTCATTTCTGCCGAACTGTTCTAAAAGCCACTGGCAAAATGCAACTCTTTTAGGATGATCTTCCACATTTTACTATGGGAATCTTCAACATGAGCTGCTATGGCTCTAGTAGTCATTGTTGGACCGTCTTCGACCATTTCTAAAATGCCTTCCTCAATTCAGGTTCAGCAGGTCTTCCAGCATGATCTCCTTGTTCTTTCAAATACCCTGTGTCACGAAGTCTAATAACTTTTACAAACATCCTTGGGGCCGGATGGTTTCTTAAAGGAAACCTTTCCTCATACATCCTACATGCTACGGCTGCATTTTGTTGCCGCTCTCCGTATGTTAGTATCATGTCCACTAGTTCATTGTTTCCGGGCATAGGCCATATTTCGCACAAATTAATCAGACAAATGAAAGAATACGCACTATCAAAAGACTGATACAACTTATCGAACCAAAGACCCGTACTGAAAACCATACAATAATATAGGGTTGTCCAATAGTGACGTAGGAAAGTAAACGTCAATTTGACATAGACGTCATCTTTGTTTTCTGTCACCGACATGTCATTTTGTTAGTTGAATATTTACCATTGATCGCTATGGAGTCGTATTCGATTGAAGACCGCATTAAAGTTATTCAAGAGCACTACAAAAATGGTGCAAAAATAAAAAACACGTTTCGCGCGCTTCGTGAACATTTCGGTCGCAACAACCGCCCAAACGAAACAACCATCGGTCGTCTGGTGCGTAAATTCGAGGCAACAGGTTCTGTGGCAAATCTGCCAGGCTCTGGCCGGCCAAGGAGCGTTCGCACACCGGAAAATATTGCTGTTGTGAAGGAGAGTGTGAGAGACGATCCGAAACAATCAACAACGCGTCGATCCCAAGAATTGGGCATTTCGAGAACCAGTTTGCTCCGCATTCTCCACAAGGATTTGAATGTACACGCCTACAAGATCCAATTGACGCAAGAGCTGCGTCGGGCCGACCATTTTTCGCGCCGGACGTTCTCAGATTGGCTCCTTGAACACCGCCAAATTGATGCCAATTTTTCATCAAAAATCATGTTCAGCGACGAAGCGCATTTCACTTTGAATGGGACGGTAAACAAGCAAAACTGCCGCATCTGGGCGAACGAAAATCCACGTGAGTATCAAGAGCAGCCGATGCATCCTCACAAAGTGACTGTGGTGTGCATTGTGGTCAAAAGGCATCATCGGACCTTACTATTTCGAAAATGCGGCCGGGGACGCCGTTACCGTCAATTCTGAGCGATATCACGTGATGATAGAGGAATATTTTTTGCCGCAACTTGAAGGAATGGATATGGACGATGTTTATTTCCAACAAGACGGTGCAACATGCCACACAACCAACGTCAATATCCATCGATTGCAGTCCTTCTTCGGTGATCGCGTGATTTCGCGCAGAGGAAATGTGCCATGGCCACCAAGATCGTGCGATTTGACTCCCTTGGACTTCTTTTTATGGGGATATTTGAAAAGCAAAGTCTACGTCAACAAACCAGTCACCCTCCAAGAACTCAAAAACAACATCATTGCCGAGATAAATGCCATACTACCGACCATGTTGTAAAATGTCATTGAAAATTTCGACCATCGCGTGGACGTCTGTAAATCCAGTCGTGGTGAACATTTGAGCGATATTATTTTTCATTTTCTTTCCTGCGTCCGTTTTGGACAACTCCATACAAAAAGTTTGCCAAATTTAGATAATCGAAAAGAGTAGTAGACAAAAAACGCTAAGATTTTAACATCAGTGGTCGAGAATATAAAAAAAACTGTGTAATAACATTATTACTTACAATTTTTAATCTTTTATTATGCAACTTTTGGTTGGTAAGTTTTTTTTTAGTTATATCAACTCGTTTTGACGAATCCTGCAAGCAGTTAAAATAAGTGCCTCAATCTTGAAAACACCCTGTATAGCCTGATGCAACATTGTATTGTTAACCGCCTAGTTACTAAGATACATATCTCAGTCTCCTTGAGCCTAACATTTTAAATAATTATTTTCTTTCAATTTTCCAGACAGCTGCAACTGATCCAAATTTGATTGATAGTGTCTCTAACTCTTATAGCGATAGACGCCATACACCGGATGCACCTCTGTTTGCTTTTAAACTACTTACTCAGCAAGACATCGTCAATATAATCTCTCACATTAAGTCTACGGCATGTGGCTCTGATGGTCTAACTTTAAATATGGTTTGCTTATGTTTGCCTGATACCATAGACCATATAACTCACATTATTAATGTCTGTCTCGAAACAGGTTACTTTCCTGCCAGTTGGAAAAATGGTATTATTATTCCAATAGCTAAAACTAATCATCCAGAACAATATTCGGATCTCAGGCCAATTACCTTATTATGCTTTCTATCAAAAATACTCGAAAGAGCTGTCTACTCACAACTTGTGGAGTTTCGAACAAAACCACTTATTTCCTCTACATCAGTCAGGTTTCAGAGCTGGTTACAGCACTACTTCGTCTTTATTACATCTTACCGATTCCATCATTCACAATTTAGATAATCACATCAACACCGTCTTGGTACTGTTGGATTTCTCGAAAGCCTTTGATATGGTCAATCACCAGATACTACTGAGTAAGTTATCTCATTATGGAATGTCAGATATAGTTCTAAGGTTCTTTGAGTCATACTTGCTAAATCGTCAACAAACAGTGAAAACTGATCAGGGAATTTCCTCCTCCGAGCCAGTTCCTTCAGGAGTTCCTCAGGGCTCAGTATTAGGTCCCTTACTGTATCTGATTTATACGATCGATCTACAAGGCTATTTAGTCCACTGTAGTATGCAAACTTATGCAGATGATACTCAGTGTTTGGTTTCGATCCATCAAAGGTTGATGAAGTTTCTTTTAAAGTTAATTTAGATTTGGCTAACATCGGTGATTACTGTAACAAACACTGCTTGAAGATCAATCCTAATAAAACTACTGCAATGTTGTACTGTTCGAAAAACTCCTACCGTGAAATGAAGCAGAGGATTTGTGTTTTTTTTGGATGAGACACTCATCCCTTTTGTGGATTACGCCAAGAATCTCGGTGTTACCCTTGACTCAAATATGAGATTCGATCGGCATGTCTCTTTCTTATCTAGAGTAACGTATATGCGTTTGAAACTCATCTATTCTAATCGATGCATCTTGAATTTTAAAACCCGAAAAAAGCTCGCTGAAAGTCTTGTGTTGTCTTTCATTTCTTACTCTCTTGTTCTTTATTACCCATGTTTAGACTACGTCCACAGAAGGAAACTCCAGAAAATTCAGAACAGCTGTTGTAGGTTTATTTTTGGATTGCGCAAGTTTAGTCGCGTCTCAGATAAAATCAAAGAACTCAACTGGTTGCGAATTGATAAGTTATTTTTATATCTTTTGACCGTCTTCACGCATAAAGTTCTATTATCTAACAGACCAGCTTACCTCGCTAGCAAATTAGTTCACCGAGGTAGTTTTGTCTTAGATTTAATGCTAATTTTAACATGCCTCCTCACAATACCTCGGTCTTTGAAAGAAGTTACACCTATAATGCTGTCAAGCATTACAATGCAGTCAACAGTGGGTATCGATCCAAACAGCTTGTTTCTTTTAAGAAATTGATGAAAAGTCAGCTGCTGGAGTCCATTTAGTTCAGTTTTTCTTGTGTTCATGTTATTTTTTTTTTCTTGTTTGACTACTTTCTACTATTTTTGTTTCAAATTTAAAACTCTCGCAATACTAACTGCATTTGTCTCGTGCAATGAATGTTGTCATTCTTATGAATTGTATATATTTTTTTTGGTATGTTATTATTTTGTTTATGTGTTTAAGTATTCTTTTTTCCTGTTGTGGGGTTGAGTGTAAGAGTAGCCGTCTGGCTCAACTTCGCCTCACTGCAGCTAATAAAGGCATTATTATTATTATTATTATTATTATTACTATTATTATTATTATTATTATTATATTTCCAGATACTATGCCACCCATCAGTATTTCTTATCGAAACGCAGCCTGTACCTCGTAGTATGGCGCATCACAGATGGATACAAGGGTATAAACGAAATCCTTCAATGGCTCGTCAACATCCAGGCTAGAGCCCCGAATTCTCCCGTGATCATAGTCGGGACGCATTTCGACGTCGTGCAAGAAAACAATCCGAGCGTTTCCGAAGAGTATCAGCAGATCATTAGAGAGAGATTCATAAATATAGTTGATGCCGAGAAATGTGGCTTGCCAAGGGTGCTGGACACGATAGAGATCAGTTGTAAGTAGTATGTTTTTCGGTAGAATAAAATACCACAGTGACAAATAATTGCGACAACTATTTTATACAGGGTGGCCGATATGTAACTGTTTGTATCTTGAATATTTGTGAAATGAAATAAAATACGGCCATTTTTTCATCTAAATATTTTATTGAAACTTAGAAATTATGTATGAAAAATAATGTCAGACAAACGTCCGCCTCTAGAGGGAGGAATATTTTCAATCGCTTCCGTAATGTTGTTCTTCAGCTGCTCTACAGTATTTGGTTTGTTGACATAAGCTTAATGTCTCAAAAATTCCCATAAAAAAGTCAGGAGCCGTTAAATCCGGTGACCTTGGTGGCCAGTTGACATCACCAAATCGAGAAATTGAACGTCCCGGAAATATCGTTCGCAAAAGATTCATTGTTTCCCTAGCTGAGTTAAGACTGATGGAGAGATTCCGGATAAATATGCTCGGCATACTAGATGGGGGTCCTTTAGGGCAGGCATTGACAGTAAGCTTGGAGCGGTCCTATACAGGCTTTGCAGGGGCTCTGACATAGAAGCAGCTGTCGAGTCTCTGAGCAGGGACTTGACGGCTGCATATGAGGAAAACTGCCCGTTACGCAAAGTCCAAGGTAAGGGCAAGGCAACCTTCTGGACCAAAGAATTAGAGGATAGAAAACGAGCGGTGCACAAACTTCTTAGCAGAGTTAAGCACATGAGAAGTTCTCCTCTATAGGAAGACTACAAAAAGGCATTGCAGGAGTACAAAAAGGAGATTAGAAATGCCTCCAGAGAATCCTGGAGGTACTTCTGTCAGTCCATAAACGACATTCCTGCTACTGCAAGAATACCCAGGGTCCTATGCAAAGACATTAAAACAAGATTGGGATTTCTGCATGATCCCTCGGGGGGGAATACTACTTCTGAGGAAGGTACTCTGAGGCTTCTGATGGATAGGCACTTTCCCGGTTCCACAGTAGCGCGATCAATCACAGAGTGCATGCAGTTGCACAGGCCCTCAGGGGAGGACTGGCGCACGGCTAGGGAGATTGTCACCTTCGAAAGGACGGTATGGGCAGTAGATTCGTTTGCTCCATACAAAAGTCCAGGTCTGGACGGCGTATTTCCGGCCATGTTACAGCAGGGACCGAGTTCGGTTGTTCCTTACCTGTTGAATGTGTTTCGAGCATGTGTGGCCACGGGCTTCACACCTAGAAGCTGGCGGCAGTAAAGTGGTATTCATTCCTAAACCGGTCAGAGCTAGATATACTGGCCCGAAGGATTTTCGACCGATTACTCTTTCATCTTTTGTGCTTAAGACACTGGAAAGGACAGTTGATAGATACTTAAGGGATGGCCCGCTGGAAAGGTGTGTCATTCATGCAAATCAGTTTGCATACCAAGCTGGAAAATCGACTGATCTGGCCTTACACAATCGGGTCGGTAGGCTGGAGAAGACTCTAGATCAGCGAGAAGTGGCACTCGTGGCCTTCTTGGACATTGAAGGTGCATTTAATTGCACCACAACCGACTCTATCAGACATGCCTTGGTTAGACACGGGGTTGGATCAATCCTAATAGATTGGGTCCTATCTACTCTGGAGGGTCGAGTAACAACAGCTATGCTGAATGACGTAAGCTGCAGCGTGAGTGTAGCTAGAGGCTGCCCTCAGGGCGGAGTTCTATCACCCCTACTGTGATGTATCGTGGTGAACGAACTCCTCGTTAGGCTCAGCAGTATGAGTGTCTACGCGCAAGCCTATGCTGATGACGTAAGCATAGTAGTTAGGGGGCATTTTTGTAGAACAGTCTCGGAAATTATGCAGGGCGCTCTGCGCTCCGTGGAATCGTGGTGTAGGGAAGTCGATCTTTCTCTTAACGCTGATCCTATTCACTAGGAGAAGAAGGCTTGACGGGCTTCTTTGGGACTAGATTAGTTTTGCCCAGTCAGTGAAATATCTGGGAATTATCCTGGATTGCAAACTGAACTGGAGAGAGCATGTGGAATACAAGGTTAGCAAGGCTCGCAATTCGATGTGGGCTTGTAGACGTGTTGTCGGGGTAAGGTGGGGGCTTAAACCCAAAGTGGTATACTGGCTCTACACGACGATAGTACGTCCATCTCTCTTGTACGGCTCCCTGGTCGTTTGGCCTTGCATTAGAACTGAGATAACTAAGGCCAAACTCAATAAAATTCAGCGTTTGGCCTGTATTAGTATTACAAGCACAGTGCGAACAACGCCATTGAGTGCAATGGAAGCTCTGTTGGATCTCCCACCGTTGGATCTGGTGATCCGCGGTGAAGCGAGTGTAGTCTCGCTCATCGACTGTGGAGTCAGGACAGCTGGGCTTTCTTGAATCCTGCCAAGGGGCATACTGCCATCTTAGTCGAATTACAAAGGGAGGACCCCGTCCTTCTAAGCAGGGATGATCGTATTACCCATAAATATCGCTTCAACCGCAAGGTTATTGTGGATTATCCAACGAGGGAGGAGTGGGATGCCGGTAGCCGGGGACACTCCGGAGTGAGCGGGCAGGTCTGGTACACGGACGGCTCGGTCACCGAAGAGGGCTCAGGTGCTGGGGTCTCTGGGCCTAGAACTAGGCTATCTCTGCCTCTCGGTGCATACACCACCATTTTCCAGGCGGAAATCTTTACGATTCTGGCTTGTGTATCTCACATTCTGGAGGAGGGTGGGCCTAGGAGAAGAATAACAATCTTATCCGACAGCCAGGCTGCAAAGAAAGCACTAAGTGCCTGTAAGATTACTTCGAGTCTTGTATTGCAATACAGGGAGGCTCTGGATTGTCTCGCAGCGAGGCATCCGGTATCGTTAATATGGGTACCGGGGCACGCTAGGATAAGGGGCAATGAGACGGCGGACACTCTGGCGAAGTCAGGATCAGCCAGCAAGCTCGTTGGTCCTGAGCCAGCTCTAGGAGTGACCGCGCATAAAGATCGGAGGAAAATGGAGACGTGGGTTGCAAGACAACACTCTCAGAAATGGAGAAGTATCTCCAGACATCTCCGCCAGGCGCGAGAACTCATTGAAGGGCCCAGTGCTAAGGATGGACGCTTCTCTCTATCTCTGGACAGAGCCAACCTAAGGTTGCTGGTGGGACTGTTGTCTGGCCATAACACGTTAAGGCTTCACCTGCACGTCCATTACTTTGGAACCTCAGGACATCAAGGAGCTTGGACTCAAGGCGATTCTCAACTTCGCTAAAAGGGCGAGGCTTATGATCTAAGGATTGTAGAGGTGCATAAGGGCCCGCTTAAGCGGCGTATGCACTGGCTCCTTATGGTGGCCGGAATGCCTCTAATTTCAAGATTCATTCATTCCCTAGCTGGGTGACAAGTTGTTCCGACCTGCTGGAACCACATGTTTTGCAGGTTAAATGGTTGGATTTGAGGAGCCAGAAAGTTTTGCGCCATATCACGGTAGTGCTCCCCAGCGACAGTAAGAGAATTTCCTGCAGCGTCTTCAAAGAAGTAAGGTCCAGTGATATCATAAGTCTACTAAAAATACTAGTTAAAGAACTCACCTTTATCACGAGAAGTTTCAAAAAACTAGATCATTTTAATTAATATCGCTGGGCGGCAAACGTATATAAGACAGTGACACATCCCTGGAAATATTGGTGAAACGAACAGCACAATCTGCACCATTTTCAGCCATTTTAAATTTACTACCAAAGGAAACTGTCAATCTGTGTCAACTTCAGGACCAATAAAAGTAATATTTCAACTGTGGCTTCACGCTATACTGAGTGTTGCTGCTGCTGAGTTGATATATATGCATGATGCCGAAGAAAAAAGTTAAAAACCAGATCTCAACGGAAAAATCAGATACAATGGAAGTTTACATTGATGGAAACTTGGACACTCAGAAGATTCTAGAAGAAAATAAACACTTAAAACAGATATTAGAAGAAAAGGATAAACTAATACTACAGTTGAGCAATGAAAATGGAAGACTACAAGAACAGTACAATTTAGCGACATCAGCCATACACGAAAAAAGTACCGTTGAAACAGTGATAAATAAAATAAACCAAAGATTGACTGAAATTGAGAAAATTAAAGAGAAATCATATGCCCAAGTACTAAAGCGAGATACTCCAACAATCAAGAAAGACCCAATGAAGAACATAATTGTCACACCAAGTGGTATCCAAACATCTGAACAAACGAGAAAAGACCTTAACAAAAAAATTAGCCTTGCGGATTTGAAAATACAAATAGAAAATATACGAAATTCTAAAAATGGAGGAATTATAATTAAACTGGCTGAGGAACACCACAACACACTCAAAACTGCATTCGAAAAGAAATTAGGAGATGAATACAAAATCACAGAACCTACAATGTTTAGACCGAAGATCAAAATTGTCAATTTTAGATGCACGGAGAAACCACAGGAAGAAGACATAGAATTAGATGTTATCCAACAAAATCATTTTATTGAAAAAGATGACATCAAAATCAAATATGTAAAGTATCTCCCATCGAAAAAATGTTACACATTATTTGCAGACATTTCTGGCAAATTATTCAGGGCAATATTTGAAGATAACAATGGAAAAATTCTTCTTGGATGGCAATGTTTACCAGTGTATGATAATAACGAAATAACGCAATGCAAGAAGTGTCTTCGCTTCAATCACACCGAGAAAAAATGCCGCAATAACAAGACCTGTACCAACTGCAGCAAAGAGGATGTACACGATACTGACTGTTGTAAGCATGAACCGGTTGTATGTTGTAATTGCAAATTTTCAAACTATAGATATAACAAAAGTTATAGTACCAACCACTCACCATTAGATAAAAAATGTCCAACTTTTCTATATTATCAACAGCAGTACAACTTGAAAATCCTTTTTTAAGAAAGAAGAAATTTTAGCCAAAATTTTAGAATATTGCATCATTTATGACACACGACCATGTAAATAACTTCCAAATTCAACGTATTAGTACTAATACTGCTCATGATACTAGCGAGCTAGATTCTTTTTTACAAAATCCTGAAATATCTGTTAGAATTTATCATATGAACATCAGAAGTATAAAACATAACTTTGACTACTTTAAATTAATTTTGAAAAGAATACAAAGTGATATAGATATAATCATTCTATCCGAAACATGGCCAGTGGGCGATGTGACTCTGTTTCATTTATAATTTTGGTAACCATAATCAAAACGATGGAGTGATGGTGTATGTACGAAACTATCTGCCTTATAACCATACCATATTTACAATCAACAATGAACTAAAAGGTATCAATCTAACAATGCAAATTGAAAATCGTAGAGTCAAAATTACTTGCATTTACCGACCACGATCTTCAGATCCTAATACATTTATAAGAAACATAGATGAACTATTAAAAAACAATGAAAACAATCACCTTCATAATCAAATATTTATAGGCGACATCAATATAAACATTTTAGAGGAAAATTCTAGGGTGAAAGAATATTTAAACATTTTATCAAGTAATGGTTTTTTATCATACATAAATAAAGTAACACGACCCACCAGTAAAACCTGCATTGATCACTGCTTTATAAAGGATATTTCCAATATTTTTTCTTACATGCCTATTATCTATGAAACCGATATTACAGATCATTATTCCACTGTATTATTGATATCTTCACAAAATAAAAACCAGTACTGCCCAAGGGCAAAAAATGAAAGAAACCTTGAATACAAATATTTCACTGACAACTCAAAATTAATATTTAACGCACAAACGGAATCGTGGGACGAAATTTTTTTAACAAATTCTCTAGATGAAGCTACAAATTTATTAATACACAAAATTCAAAAAGTAATTGAAGGTTAAAATAAGTCACAAGGAAAAAAGCAGAAATGATTGGATGACCAAAGGACTAATAAAATCTGCAAACGAAAAAGAAAGACTGTATAAAATCATGAAATATTTACCCACGAAACAAAATATAGATCATTATAATCAGTATAAAAACAAATTTATAGAACTTTTGAGAAAAGAAAAAAAATTACTATATAAAACAATTGAATAATAATTCACATGACTCTAGACACCTATGGTCCACTGTAACAATGATATATTCAATAAGTCATCCTATTCAAAAAACAATATTAATGAAATAAAAACAAAAACAGGACAGAAAACAGACAATATTCAGCAAATATGTGATGAGTTCATAGAATTTTTCACGAATATAGGAGGAAACTTAGCAAATAATATCAAACAAAATGCTGATATTCATCTGCATGAAACAAGACTGAATAATTCATTTGTATTAACTGAAGTAGACTATCAGGATGTTTTCAATGCCATTATGACTCTAAAAAATAAAAAAAGCCCTGGAGTTGACGAAATTAGAGCTGAACATCTAAAGATACTGGCCAAACAAATAACAGAACCACTTGCTTATATCATTAACAAATCCTTCCAATCTGGAGTATTTCCATCAGCTTTCAAAACAGCAATCATCATACCTATCTATAAATCTAATGATAATACGGACGTCACTAACTATCGACCTATTTCACTTATATCAAGTTTAGCTAAAGTTTTTGAGAAATTACTCCTTAATAAAATGATTAATTTTCTTAATAAATTCAAAATTCTAAATTCAAATCAATATGGTTTTATAGCGAGCAAATCTACAACAGATGGGGTATTAAGTATAGTAGATGAAATAACCCAAAATATAGATGGAAAAGTACCATCGATATGCGTATTTGTGGACTTACAAAAAGCGTTTGACACGGTTAACCACAATATACTTTTGGAAATCTTAGAAAGAATAGGTTTTCGTGGAAAGATGTATACTTTAATGGAAAATTATTTATCAAATAGACCGCAATCAGTAAAATTATTAAGCTCGTATAGTAAAGAAATGTTTGTTAAATGTGGTGTTCCACAAGGTACAATTTTGGGTCCTCTGTTATTCAATATTTATTTAAACGATATATTCAAAATTAGCAGTACTGGTAAAATAGTCAGTTTTGCAGACGATACTGCTATACTCTATAAAGGTAAGGATTGGAACGACTTAAAAGATATTATCCAAAATGACTTTTGCAAAATTATTCAGTGGTTTAATAACCGAAAATTAACAATTAACTTTACTAAAACTCATTTTTTACCATTTTCATCACTATCTAATCATCTACCAAAATATAACATAACCACCTTCGGTTTAAGGTAAATGATAAATATATAAAAATCAATAGAGTTAATGATACAAAATATTTAGGAATTTATCTAGATCCCCACTTGAGATGGGATGTACATATTTCTCACATACTAAAGAAAATTAGATTCATAGCATATAAAATAAAATTTCTAACCGGTATATTAACTGAATATTATCTACGAATAATATATCAAGCTTTAGTCGAGCCACACATAACATATGGTATAGTAGTGTGGGGTGCTGCATGCACGACATACTTTAACGATTTAGATGTACTTCAAAGAAGAATTTTAAAATCAATGTTAGGCAAATCAAAATTATACCCAACTAATGACTTATATAATGATGCACAAGTATATGATACTAAACAACTTTACTTCTTACATACCATCACTCATTATCACAAAACTATTAGTGAACACGACATAATTAAACATAATCATAAAACCAGATATAAATTACGCGCAAAAAATGTTCCTAAACCAAACAAATCCCTAATGAAACGATGTCACCTGTATATAGCTCCAAAATTGTACGAACATTTACCAAATAATTTAAAACAATTACGCAATACATTAGGCTTCAAAAAAAAATTAAAAAAATTTATTAACACGATTAGGAGAAATCAAATTAATAAAATAATCTCAAATATTACACAATAAATGCTCTACCATTCTTACCAATAATTTCTTTTTTCTCTCTATTTTATTATATTTTGCAATTCAACATACATATGATCCATGCACAGGCGTTGTCCTCCTATGGATATATTATATTTATTTACTCGTTTCATGTTCCCTGTATTTTAGAGTAAATAAATATTATTATTATTATTATCTCCATACCAAACACCACCCCACACTGTGACTCGACGAGGATGTAGTGGCCGTTGATGGATGACACGAGTGTTCTGTAATGCCCAGATAAGACAATTCTGCATTTATATCACTCATTATCAGTTGTCGGTAAAAATCGTTATTTTGGGTATTGAGCTGCAACACTGCATGACTGTATTGTCGGCGACTTTCATGGTCACTAGGCTGTAGTTCTTGGGTTAACTGAATTTTGTATGGCCGCAAATGCAAGTCTTTTTTAAAATAGTGCATAATGTCGTTCGACGAATACCCAGTTCTTGAGGACGATGTCTTGTAGACGCCTCAGGGCGCTCCACTACACTTTCACGAGCTTTCTCGATATTTTCCGGAGTACGAACACGGCCCGACCTTGACAAGTCTTTAACTTGACCTGTTTGTTCAAATTTCCGCACCAACTGACGTTGCAACAATCGACTCATTATTAAAAAAAAAACCTTTTAACAATACGGACACATGTGCTTTAAACAGCTACTACGGCGCCACCTACTGAAATGCGTGTATCAAAAATGGCGCGCAATTTAAATCAGTCAGTCATATATTGGCCACCCTGTATTAAGGAAGATTTTAATAATTTGGCCATTTAGAAGCACGTTAAGTCGTATTCTGTCTTATATTCACTAGGTAAGACCAGACACAATATCAAGCTGCTTTGCAACCTGATATACGATACAGTGTTCAGTCTTCGACCTCCTGGAAGTAAAGAGCTGTTACTAGAACAAAGAGTACCGGCGACGTATTTAGCTTTAGAAGATGTTATAAATTACATAGCATCGGAAAGACGTCAAAATGGATGCGATCCAGTATTGAATGCTTCGCAATACAGGACCCTCGTTACTACGGAAATGTTGCAAAGATACAATAAGACATTCAGGGACTGGTCGGAGTTACATCAAGCTACTTTGTTCTTGCATGAAAATGGTGAGTCATATTTATGCTTCAATGTTACACTGAAAAATGAAAAATTTCATAATCATATATTTCAGGGTATATGACTATAATTAGCTTTTTAATAAAATTGTATAAGACCTTTGCTCAATAGTTCTAAGTTGCACTTTGCCTTCAGTCTCAAAAGTGAGCAAAACCAAGCGCCTACCGTTTCGTTGATGCTGAAAACACTGTGATGTCGAGCACTATGAAGTGTGATAGAAAATACTGTTTGAAATATGGCAAATTTCCAACAAAACTGAAGTGTTCTACCATAACTCCTGTTTCTAAAGTTAAGAATTCTGAGTTGTACACCAATATGCGGCTAAAAAATGATCTGCCAGATGTTGAAAAAGTCTTTGAAGAAATTATTTACGAACAGATCATCGAATTTATGGAGGGAATTAAAATTTTAAGCAAATTTCAAGTTGGATTCAGGAAGAAACACCCAACTGAAACGGCAATAAAAATTGTTTTAGAGGACTGGATGAGAAGTATGGACAATAGGAAACATTCAGTGACAGTGTTCTTGGGGACGTTTGTAACTCTTGGCAGGGATAAATTACTTACAAAAATTTTATTACTATGGATTTAAAGGGTCTGTATTCAAAATTCTACAAAACTACTTAATTGACAGAACTCAAAAAACCAAAATTGGATCTACATTATGAAGCTCGGAAAATATTTCTGATGGTGTACCACAAGGTAACAACCTAGGTCCGCTACTTTTTATTTTATACATGAATGACATTTGTAATATTTTAGATTATTGTAAAGTTCAGATATTTGCAGATGATACATTAATATACATATCAGATAATCTGATTTGGCAAAAATTATAAATTGGTTAAATATAAATAAACTAAACTTGAATGCTTTTAACACAAAACGTATGCTAAGAAGGAAATACCTAAATGAAAATACTATCACAGTTAGGATAACTGCTGAAATAATTGGAAATGTTGAATTAATTAAATATTTACGTACTATATATAGTATATTGATAGTAAACTAAAGTTTGACGATCACTATTAATACATTATTTAAAAAATTGCCAAAAAACAAATTACTTCTATAGCGCTTCTCATAGTCTTAGTACATATACTAAGTGACATATAAATCCGAACACCCAGTTTAAATGGTTTTATTTTAATAAAATTTTGTATAAGTACTTAATGAAGCATAATAAGTAAATGATAAAAATTTCAAAATGATTGCACTGCTTTAAAGCCCTTTGACCTTTAATAATGTGTGGATGCACCCTGATGTGCTACGCATTCTCCAACGCGCCTAGGCATGCTTCTGATCAGGGGGTCAATTTCCTCCTGTGGTATCTCATTCCAGGCAACCACCAACTCCTCTCGAAGTGCTTCTAGAGTCTGGGGAGGACGTTGCAAATTGAGCAATCTCCTACCCATCATATCCCACACGTGCTCAATTGGGGATAAGTCGGGAGATCTTGGTGGCCATGGTAACAATGTGACATCATTATGTTGAAAGAAGTCTCTTGTGACTCTTGCAACATGTGGTCGGGCATTATCTTGTTGGAAAGTTGGATCTGCCAGGGTGTCAAGATAGGGTAAAAGATGGGGTTCTAGAACTTCGTGGATATAACGCTGCGCGTTCATGTTACCTCTGATGAAGATTAAAGGTGACCTGGAACCATAAGCTATAGCACCCCAAACCATAACTCCAACAGTGTGATGAACATGTCTTTCAACAAAAAACTGTGGATTCCTCCTTTCACCACGTCGCCTTCTAACCCTGGCACGACCATCGTGCATGCCTAAACAAAATCGAGATTCGTCACTAAAGACAATACTATTCCATTCCTGATTCCAGAGTGACCGTTGTCTGCACCACTCAAGGCGATTACGTCGGTGTTCTCGAGTTAAAGGGAGGACCCAGTGTGGCCGGTATGAACACAAGCCAAAACTTGTCATTCGTCGGTAAACACTTCGCATGCCAATAGGTCTTCCGTGTTCTGCAAACCATTCATTTGCAATGGACCTGGTAGTGGAGAAACGGTCCCTTAAGGCCAATAATCTTAGGCGGCGATCTTCACGGTCTGTTGTTCTACGGCGGCGTCCAGTGCCCCTTGCTCTTTGCGTACGGCCTTCTCGAAGCCATGCCTGACAACACCTAACCATAGTGTCTACACTTCTTTGCACTCTAACTGCAATTGCCCGAAAAGAAAGTCCAGCTTCCCGAAGACCCACTATACGGCCCCTATCAAACTCACTAAGTTGACGAACCAGAATGTCCAACTGATAAGGCTGAAAAATTGTTCACTTGTTATTTACAGTAAGATAAATACATTCACCAACTTTTATTAAAATAAAACCATTTAAACTGGGTGTTCGGATTTATGTCACTTAGTATATTCCAAAAAAATACTTAATACAATTATTCTACCGCATTTACTATATTGTTCAACTATCTTGTTCACTACCAATGAAGCTGTATTCTCAAAATTACAAGGCCTGTAAAATAAAGCTGTGAGAATAATATTGAATACAAGTAAGTACATCAAATTAAAATCTATGTTACAAGAATTGCAGTGGTTAAATATACACAATTTTATACTTGGTTCTTATTTTTATATTTAAAATAAAAAATCATCATCAGCGAAAACATTTGGAACACTACATACAATTGAATAATCATTACCACAATTATTATACATTATTACTTAAACAATGAAAATTCTTAGAGATGCAAATTTTATTTTTCTAAATATCTCTTTGTTATGTAATTGTTGTTGTTTTTTCAAAATAATGTAATTGTAGCAATCATACTAAATAAATCTTAAACAACCAAATAAATTAAATTACAAAGTACTAAGCTTACATATTTGAGTCAATTTCCCTTAAAAGTACATTTCTTGGCTATAGATGCACTTATCCGAACATACATTCCATGATTGGAAGAAGAACTTCTGTCAGTATCGGGAATGGTGTAAAAAAATGTTCTTTCTAGTACGGTTTTCATTTTTGGGAAGTGCCAGAAATCACACAGTGATAAGTAGTAGAGACATAATGACAACAACAACCCAAACTCTTAATGAGTGTTTTGAATTCTCATGTAGAAGCTTGAAAATTTTTCAAACTAATAAGTGTTGTTTTGAAACAAACAAAAATTGACTTTGATTTAATTATTTTGATGGAGACATGGAACATAACAGACTCATTATTTACTATTCAGGGATGTAAAAGCTATGAAATTATTACATTAAATTAATTAAAATTAAAAAAATCAATATTAAAGTAATATCTATATATAGATACACCTACCTCGAACGTCACGGCTTAATTAGCGACAGGCAGTATGGTTATCGGCACCAGCGATCCACAGGGTACCTCTTAGCTTACATCACGCAATTGTGGAGTAAACTCCATACAGTCTTATGGTGAAGCTCATGTCGTTGCTCTTGATATCACGCTGCCCTCTTATGCTGCAAACTTACATCCTTTGGCCTCCCAGAGAAGCTTTGCAGGTGTGTGGCTGACTTTCTCCCTGACCGCAAGATATCCGTCGTAATTGACGGGTTCTCCTCTTTATCCATAACATCAACGCGGGTGTTCCCCAGGGATCGGTCTTGGCTCCGACACTGTTTCTCTTACATATCAACGACTTCCTTTCCTGTACGATCAGCCCAATCCATAGCTTTGCTGATGTCAGAACCTTACATGCAGGAATTCGGATCGACAAGCCAATCTCTGCCGGTCAGCGGGAAAAAAGACTCTATGACGAGAGACCTGGAGGTTATCACGGCTTGCGGACGCAACAATCTTGTACAGTTTAATGCTTCTAAAACACAGAACTGTACTCTGACGAACAAAAAGCATCCTAGCGCTTATCCAGTTTCTGTACAGGATGATTAAAAAAAATGGCAATATTCTGGGATAGAAATAGGTGCAAAAATTACATAAAATGTTTCTATAAATATAGGCCTCAAAACGACCTATTACCAAGTCATAGGAATTTGTATTTTTTTGCCAGTAATGAGACTGATCAAGGACAAAGTATTGTTTACATAAATAACTTTGTGCTGATGTGGAATTATTACTCATTTATTCAAAACAGGATAATATTTAAAGTTAAAGAAAATAGATTATTGGATGGTGCAGAATTACTTACAGAAACCATTATATTGTACTTGGTACTGATTGTTTTCTTTATTTTGTTTGTTTGTTTAAGATTTATTTAGCATGAACGCTACAATCACATTCTTTTAAAAATCACAGCATTTATATAACAGACATATATTTAGAAAAACAAAATTTACATTTGGAAGAATTTTCACTGTCCATGAAATATTCCTCTAATCTTTTTTTAAACATGTTTAAATTACAAGTAGACTTTATATCATTATTTAGCTTATTACATTCAAGTAATCCTTTCTGAAACATTGATTTGCTAATTATATTACTATTGCAATTTTGTAAATGAAAATCTATATTTCGTCTTGTATAATAATTGTGGTAATGACTATTCAATTCTGTGTAGTGTTTTAAATGTTGTGGCAAAAGATGATTTTGCATTTTTAATATAAAAACTAAGAACCAAATATGATATACATTTTTCATATGCAACCTCTGCAATTCTTGTAAAATAGATTTGATCTGATCTTGGTGTACTTACTTTTATTCAATATTATTCTCATAGCTTTATTTTGCAGGACTTGTACTTTTGAGAATCCAGCTTCATTGGCAGTGAACAAGATAGTTGAACAATATAGTAAATGCGGTAGAATAATTCTATTATAAACTATTTTCTTGGAATATGTACTAAGACTATGAGAAGCCCTATAAAAGAAATTTGTACTTTTTTTGGCAATTTTTGAAGTAATGTATTCATAGTGATCCTCAAAATCTAGTTTACTAGCAATATACATATATACCTAAATATTTCTCCTAACTGTGATAGTATTTTTATTTGGGTATTTCCCTATTAGCATACATTTTGTTTTAGAAGCATTCAATTTTAGTTTATTTACATTTGACCAATTTAGGATTTTTGCCAAGTCAGAATTTAGCATTTCAGTGTCTATATTTTCATCTGATATGTATATTAATGTGTCATCTACAAATATCTGAATTTTACAGCAATCTTAAATATCACAAAAGTCGTTAATGTATAAAATAAATAGTAGTGGACCTAGTTTACTACCTTGTGGTATACCAAGAGAGATTTGAGCTTGATAATGTAGATCCAATTTTGGTTTTTAGACTTGTGCAGAATTTTTAATACAGATCCTTTAAATCCGTAGTGATGAATTTTGTAAGTGATTTATCCCTGTCAATAGTTTCAAACGCCCCTTTGAAGTCCAAAAACACTGTCACTGTATGTTTCCCATTTTCCGTACATCTCCTGCAGTCCTCTAAAACCATTTGTATCGCCGTTTCAGTTGTGTGTTTCTTCCTGAATCCATCTTGGAATTTAGTTAAAATTTTATTTCTCTTGATAAATTCGATGATCTGTTCATAAATAATTTCCTCAAAGACTTTTTCAACATCTGTCAGAACATTTATTGGCCTCATATTTGTGTACAATTCAGAATTCTCAACTTTCGAAACAGGAGTTATAGTAGAACATTCTCAACAGTAATTTATCAAGATTAATATTCTTGCTCCAGTAATATCAAAACATTCCTTAAACACGCTTCTAAACAAAATCTCACTTTTATTTTGATTTGATTTCAATTTTGAGATAATCTTCTCGAGGCGATTAATGTTTGTTGTTCTAAACTCACTGAATGATGCATTATAATCTGATCTAATGGGAGATTGGTTGGGATTCCCATCAATAACACTGATCAACAGCCAAAAAATATCCTAAATAAAATCAACAAAATATTACTATTTTTAATGTGCTAAAACCGGAATGAAACTTATTTTTTCAATATTAGTTCAAGTTTTAGAGATACGGTAATTATATGTGTTCCTGCTGTGACAGTGTTAATATACTGTAATTCACAAGAATGCACGTGCTACATTTTTATATTCGGCAAGGAAAGATGATGTAATCGGCATGATTGTGTTACGTTATACATACGTGTACATTATATTGTTTTATATTAGCCATTTTTTCCTCAGTTGGCTGACGGCGTTCATGCAAGATGTCTCGAAAGTGTGTAAACAATCCAGATCAGTCTTGTTACGTGTGTGGTGATGTGACTTTTGCGTCTCAGAGACGGTCTATTACTCCACTAATAACAAAGGCATATCAGCTTTATTTCGGTTGTAAACTAGGTGATCAAGACAAACAGTGGGCACCCCACATCTGCTGTGATACATGTGCTTCAAGTCTGAGGAGCTGGTTAAATTGCAAAAAACGGTCTATGCGCTTTGCTGTCCCAATGGTTTGGAGAGAGCATACAAATCATATTAATGATTGTTACTTTTGCATGGTACCTTGTGTTGGACAAGCCACAGGTATGTCCAAGAAAAAAAAATCGGTTATTAACTACCCAAACATACCATCTGCGATGAGACCTGTGCCTCACAGTGACGAAAATCCTATTCCAAAACCCCCAGAATCCTACACTTGCGAATCAGAAAACGAATCAGATCATGGCGATCGAGTGATTCGTCAGGAAGAAGATATGCCATCAACGTCAAGAGATCCTGATTTTACACCGAGCACGTCATGCCACCAACCGCACAAAATAACACAGTCAGAATTAAATGATCTTGTAAGAGATTTAGAACTTCCAAAATGTAAGGCAGAGTTACTTGGATCAAGACTGCAGCAGTGGAACTTGTTAGAAGACGATGTTTCGGTATGTGTTTTTCGTAAACGCCACAAAGACTTAGAACCATTTTTCAATATGGAGAATAACTTGGTTTTCTGCAGTAACATTAAAGGCTTACTGGCGGCTTTAAATATAAACTATAACCCAGAAGAATGGAGATTGTTTATAGACAGTTTAACATTGAGTTTAAAGGCAGTGTTATTGCATATTGGAAATATTTTACCATCTCTTCCTGTAGGGTATGCAGTTCACATGAAAGAATCATATGACAATATGAAGTACCTATTGACATGCATAAAATACGATGAGCACCAATGGCATATTTGTGGCGATTTGAAAGTTGTTGCACTTTTACTTGGGCTGCAGCTAGGCTACACAAAGTTTTGCTGTTTTTTGTGTGAATGGGACAGTCGGGCAAAGGCACTTCATTACACCAGACAAAACTGGCCTGTTCGTCAATTCCTAGAGCCAGGTCAAAAAATGTACAGCATATGCCATTAGTAGATTCGAAAAAAATTTATTACCACCACTGCATATCAAGTTGGACCTAATGAAAAACTTTGTCAAGGAATTAGATAGAGATGGGTCAGCTTTTCAATACCTGCGTCAGAAATTTCCAAGACTAAGTGAGGCAAAGGTTAAAGAAGGTATTTTTGTTGGGCCACAGATTCGAAATATTTTGAAAGATACACAGTTTGAAAACACTTTAACAGGTATTGAAAAAACTGCTTGGAATGATTTCCGTCTGGTGGTCACTAATTTCTTGGGAAATAGAAAAGCTGACAACTATAAAACCCTTGTCAAAAATATGCTGTCATCGTATCAAAAGATGGGCTGTAATATGTCTCTTAAGATACATTTCCTACACTCAGACCTGGACTTTTTTCCTGACAATTGCGGAGCCGTAAGTGATGAGCACGGCGAACGTTTTCATCAGGATATTTCAACAATGGAAAAAGGTACCAGGGAAAGTGGAATCCTTCCATGCTTGCAGACTACTGTTGGACTCTTGGTAGAGATGCTCCAGAAACGATCCATAAAAGAACAGCAAAAAGACAGCGCATATAGTGATTCTTATAAGTATATGAATCTTGTTACTTTTTTTAATATATCCTTAAAAATAGAAAGTTTTTTTTTCTTAACCGCAACTAATTGTTTTATTTCATTGTCATTTTTGGATTCAGCGCCCCAAAATTAACAAAGAAGTGCACTTTTCCCACAAGATACAATTAAAAAACTAAAATTTGTTGTCCAGTGTAATTGGTCTTACAATGTCGTTGACACTTTCTATGGAATAGGTATTCATTCGATCTGTTATTATTTTTTCATATATCATTACCCCGTCGTTTAACTTTTTAGATAATGTATTTCCTCTAATAGGAGATACAATGTTTTTCACATCTGTTTGCTATAATTTTGGTATTGTAATATTTTTTCTTTTCATCTCGTAGAACTGATACAGATTCGTTTGTTGATATTGTGTATTCTAGCCAATCACGTTCAATCCCAGTTATCATTAACTTTTTATAATTGTAGCCTCTTTTTAATTTAGAATCCTTGAACGTCTATGAGAACCAAAGTGTAGGATATTTCCTTTTATAGATTGTTGTTTTGACTGTAGCATCTTTCATGCAGACTTCAACATTATCCAATAGGCTTGCATAGTAGCTGTCGACATCAACAAACATTTCAGTCATATCGTGCAGTAAAAGTTTTTATCTTTACAGGTGTTCTTTTACATTACGACGATGCAACCCTGAAGGACCTGTATTTCTTGGATCCCCAATGGTTATGTGACATGTTAGCTCACGTTGTTACAATTAGAGAAATAAATCCTTTTGCTAGAACGGGAATTATGAAATTAGACGATTTAAAGCATATATTCAAGGCTAGCAACATCGGACCCATGGATACAAGGTACACTTAACTTACAACCTTGCTAAATTTCCCCACGATTACCGATTCGATTTTGTCTTATATTTCAGAGGCTACATAGTAAATTTACTGAACAAATTTGAGGTAGCTCTGACTTGGGACTCACGTACTCTCCTCATACCATCTCTTTTACCATCTGAAGAGGATATTCTTATGGCTCAGATGTATCCGGGTCAATTTCATCCTATGGTTACGGTAAAAGTACCGCTCAGATCCAGAGGCTGGGCTGTGAGGAACAAGAAGATCAGTGTATCACCAAAGTCACTGCTGTACAGGGATCATAGTGCGCAAAGAGGATTCGAGATGAACATGCCTAGTGCCTCATCGTCGCCTGCAAGGAACGGTGAGTTCCAATGATGAATTCACTTGTCATCTCAGTCCAGCCTTGTTTGCTCGCTAAAATGAATTTTTTTTTAAAATAGCACAGGAAACGTTGTTTATCCGTTAAAGAGCTTGGAGATAGCATAACCATGATTTTCTGAAAAAAGCACGTAATTTTTCACTTTTGCAACGGGAAAATGCTTTGTCGTATCTTTTTAATACTGGAGGAAAGTTGAGAAAAAATAACCATGGATCTGACTAGGAAAATTGCGAAGTAAAGTAACGTTTCTTTCCATATATTTTATGGCCCATCACAAACACATATACAGGGTGTTTCAGTTTATTGTTGCATAACTTTAAGATACGATATAACTTTTAAAATTAATGCATAAAGTCTATATAAACATGGGTCGAAAAATGCGTGACTTCCGAAATACAGGATGTTTAAATTTACTTTCTAAAATAGTTTTTTTTAAATATTTCGAACAATATTTGATGTATAACAGTGAAAATTGGTATACAAGGGTTTTTTGATACGACAAAACGAACCATGGGCATAGTTTTACTGTAGCCGCTAGAGGGCGCTCTGTACTGTACCTGTAGTGTATTAAAATGACCGAAAAAATTTTCTTAGTGCAACTTTTTGCTTTTTGAATAAAAAACTGATTCTTCTCACTTTTCTGCATAAAAAAGCTCTCCTGTGAGTTTTCGTTATAGTTAGCCGTTTTTGAGATATTTCGATTTTTAAGGTTCGATGCATTTTTAATTATTTACGGGGAAAATAATATTTTTTTTACATTATCGATTTGGGCATTACAAGTAATTAAGATGATCGTTTAGATTGTGTTTTTAAACACAGCAATAATTCCTAACTCCAAATAAACACAAAAAAACAGAATATTAATTTGTTTAATTTTCCAATATTATTTTTAACAAATTGAATTAATTATTTACAACTAAAATGCTCTTGGATAGTTAGGACAAACATACAAAATCTAAAGTAGTTGCTTGTAATGTAAACCCAATTGGTCAATACACAATTCACATCTACGAATGATCGAACGTGGTATAGCATTATTCAAATAAGGCCTTATTTCATCACATGCATTCCTGATTCTGTCTATTAGCATATCTCTTGTGGTTACGGGAGTCTGGTACACTTTTTCTTTTAGAAATCCCCACACAAAGAAATTTAATGGATTTAGGTCAGGGGATCGTGGAGGCCAGGCGACTGGTCCCCCACGGCCGATCCATCTTTCTGGATAATTTTCGTCCAGCCAGTTTCTAACTATTCTCGAATAATGAGCTGGACAACCATCAAGCTGGAACCAGGCCAATCTTCTTAAATCTAACATAACATCATCCCACATATTTGCATGTTCAGCCTTTAAAAATTCCAAGAAGGTCGCAGCATTTAACCTTGCAGGCAAAAGGAAGGGTCCAAATAGTCGATTACGGTAGTTACCAATCCACACGTTCACACTAAATTCATGCTGAAAATTTCTTTCCCGAACTGCATGCGGATTTTCATGCGATCAAATATGTTGATTATGAAAATTTACCACTCCACGTCTAGTGAGGCATGACTCATCGGTCCATAAAACGTTACTTAAAAACTCCCTATTATTATCAGTTCTATCAAGAATCCACTGACAAAATGTGATTCTTCGTTCTCCGTCCCCTGGCTGTAGTCCTTGCACAGGTTGCAAATGGTAAGGACGTCTATGGTCATTTCTAAGAACACGGTGAACATGGCTTGCTGAAATTCCCAAGGCACCAGAAACTCTCCTAACACTTGTGGGTAAATCTGCGCTGACGAACATTTATGTTTTGATCCCTTTGGAGATTTCCAAAACCATTTTCAATTATTTGGCGATGCACTCTTACAAATACTGAGCGAGTTGGATGTCGTCTGTTTGGAAATCTTCGTGCGTATTCTCTGGCTGCTTCTGCTGCGTTTCCATTTACAAAGCCATACACAAAATGAATATCCGCTAACTCTTGATTGGAGAATAAAAATGGCATTTTTAAAAAACAGGTAAAAGAAACTAAATTTCGTGTATTCATCATTGCAAAAAAACGTTTCAGGTTTCAGCAGACAACAAAACTAACTGTCAACTAATTGACGTTTAACCTTATTCTGCTTTCAATTTCAAAAATATTTGCAGGCACAGCGTACTTCTAAAAATTATCGAGATACTGACTTTTTAACGTTATTTTATCATAAATAATTAAAAATGCATCGAACTTCAAAAATCGAAATATCTCAAAAACGGCTAACTACAACGAAAATTCACAAGAGAACTTTTTTATGTTGAAAAGTGCGAGGAATCAGTTTTTTTATTCAAAAAGCAAAAAATTGCACTAAGAAAAAATTTTCGGTCATTTTAATACACTACAGGTACAGTAGAGAGCGTCCTCTAGCGGCTACAGTAAAACTATGCCCATGGTTCGTTTTGTCGTACCAAAAAACCCTTGTATACCAATTTTCACTGTTATACATCAAATATTGTTCGAAATATTAAAAAAAAACTATTTTAGAAAGTAAATTTAAACACCCTGTATTTCGGAAGCCACGCATTTTTCGACCCATGTTTATATAGACTGTATGCATTAATTTTAAAAGTTCTATCGAATCTTAAAGTTATGCAAAAATAAACTGAAACACCCTGTATAATAGGATGTCCCGGCGTATCAGAGCAAACAAATTTTAGTTCGAATTGAGATACGGATATCCTCTAATGTTTTTCCATTTGACTCTAACAACTCAAAAAATAAATATTGCGATAGAGGAACGATAACCCATGCCGACTTTCGATATATCTTTGAATTTGAAAGTTAATAGGGAAACCATTTATGGATTTAAAATCTAATTCTTATTCGACAAATAAAACACTGCTTTATTTGTATCTAATGTTTCTTAGATATTTATCATTAAAATAACATTATTTACTAAATTTTCTTTTCAAAGTTTTCTTTTTAGTCAAGATATACCTGCCTGAGTTCTTGTACGAAACTTAATAAAAATTGTTTTTGTTCCTCATCAGCAGTGATTAAGCCATGGAAGTCTTACATTAACTTGACTCCTTTTTCTGCCGTATCGTTAACTGCTCTTAGTGTGTGCACCTTATTGTTAGCGTGTTGAAAAGAATCATTATGTGGCCATGAAGTTGGACACTCGTCGAGAAAACTGTCATCAATTTCGAGTCGATTGAACAAGGACTTGCTTTATATGGAATCAGTCGTAGATATTTTTCTCTGAAATGAAAAAACGAAGGATACCATCTAAACATACTGGTTTTGTCCATCCGACCACAGACAGTCAACTATGGACAGATGTTTTCTGCTTTTTGGCAACTCAACAGCATCGTCTAGGCTTGGCCTCAGGTCAGGACAACGAACGAGTCAGTATAAACCTGTTTTTTTCGGGATCCCCACTTTTACGGCAGTGGACAGTTACAGAATCCGGTACCTCGCTTTGTAAATCAAGCTTTATTATAGCTTCTGCGCGCTCCTTTCGCTTTTCGGTACGAATTCTTTGAATGGACGACTTGCTTATAGGAAACTCGTCAGTGTTATTCCCAAGCGCTTCAATGGTTGCTTCAATAATAAAAATAACACTGACACCTATCTTATGCTGCGAACAATTTTGGAGTCATGAAACTTTTCCTCATTTGAGTTTGATTAGAATCAGGCTGTGTGCTCTGAGTTGAGATGGGCAAAATTTCTTGTAAGTCTATCTCGGAATCTGAAGATGAATTTTCTTGCACTGGTTGTTAAGATGGTGTCGAAGGAGCTAAGGAAGCAACCTATTTAGCTCTCCGCTTTTGTGCTTCGGTGTTCCTAAGACGCGCGTTTTCTTCGTTTATGGTTAATTTCCTGTTCACCTCAGCTACATGTCTAGGTCGACCTGGCTCTCTTTTCGCTGCAAGAAGATCCTTTCTTCATTTATTTTCAGCAATTGAAGGGCGCCGGCATGCGCAATATCAAACAGACTGTCCAAGTACAGACTCTTGTCGACGTTGCTCAAACATTTCTTATATAAGAATTATGTAAGAAGAAAACTTTGAAATGAAAATTTAGTAACTAATGTTGTTTTAATGATAAATATCTAAGAAATATAAGATATAAATAAAACAGTGTTTTATTTGTCGAATAAGAATTAGGCTTTGAAATGCAAAATTGTTTCCCTATTTTTTCCCCTAACTTTCAAATTCATAGTTTGACCGTTTTGTTGTTCCCCGATCGCAATAATATTTACTTTTGAGTTATTAAATGGAAATAAATAGAGAATATTCGTTTGGAAAAAAGAACTTTCATTTTTTTGGGATAGCCTATATAGTAGGAGCATACATATATACTTATTTTTTGAACGGGTCAAGTTGGCAGGCTAAAATGCAGGGTCGTGAAGTTGACGTACGAATACTATATTTTAACAGTTGAAAAATTCTTGTAACATTTTGTTTTCAATGGAATGGTGGTCATGTGATACCGCATTTTAAAGTCCCTTATGAGCAATTCATAGCCCTAGAATATAAACTCACCATCATACAAAATGGCGGACTGACATGCTGTCAGAATTGAGCGTTTTCTATATTGAATTACGACCAATTATCAAAACGTTATAGGATCTTATATTGATCTCCTTCTTTTAGAATGGTCTATCGGAATGTCCAATAGAATATAAAAAAATTAAGTTGAAAAAATTGACAGATGATGACAATTTTTCAAACGGATTGTCTCGTATTATCAAGAACAGTAGCACTACTCTGTCACTGACATTGTTAGTATGTTGTTATTTTTTTCTGCGTGACACGTACTATACAGGGTGTCCCAGAAGTCGCTGTCAAGCTGAAACCGGGTGATAGGCAAAGTCATAACAGCTATCAGAAAAATATTTAAAAAATTTTTATGTATGTGTTTTGAAAAAAAGATATAGAAATTTCACACCCTACCGCAGTCTGTCAACTCCTGTTACTACAAATATTTAACTTTTTTTGGATTTTATTTTTACAATGTAATGATGAATAATGCATCTTCAAACTGGTGTCTCAACCTTACTGCCAACTTTTTTCGTTCAGGAAAAATTGCCACTTATTTCCCAAGTATTCCAAAGCAAAACTTTGCTCAACTTTAACTGGCTGTACTGGAAAAAAATGCACTACGAGAGTTTGGCAAGTAACCTTAAAAGTTGGCGCATTTAATAACGATTCCAAAATGGTATAACACTTAGAAGATTACTCGTTAACTTATGCACAATTTTTATTTGAATAAAAACTGATAAAAATTTTCCAAAATTTCCTAATTAAACAGCGATTATGAAAACGCACAAGGACCCTTAAGGATAACTGTTTGCACAACAGTGGGCGTCAAAATGCTGCTGATGATGATTTACCTTTACAGCAAATGCTCAAACTGTTTCCTTCAGACACGCTCGACATCTTCTTAAAAAAGATCGGGTTATTAAACGAGCGAATCCACGGTTGTTAACAAACTCAGCTGCTTCCAATAATCTTTGCCGTAGCTCAGCTACATTTTGAATCGGCTTGAAATACACTTTTTCTTTTACAGTTCCCCAGTAAAAAAATCTAAAGGATTCAAATCAGGTGATCGGGCTGGCCACGGTATTGTACCAGACCGCCTTATCCATCTGCCTGGAAAGTTTTGATCGAGATACCCTCTCACTGAGAGTGCATAGTGCGCTGGGCAGCCATCATGCTGAAACCACATGTCCCTGTAAATACTCAGTGGCACGTCCACCAATAAATTTTGTACATGATTTTTCAAAAAATCCAAATAAACTTCAGCAGTCAAAGTCTCTGGGAACTCAAACGGACCGATTATTTTACCATTTAAAATTCCTGTCCAATGGTTTATCTTGAAGCGATATTGAGATTTATCTTCTCTCATCAAATGTGGGTTTGCTACGTGCCACTCATGTAAGTTATGCAGGTTCATGTACCCATCTTTCTTAAATGTGGTCTCATCCGACCATAAAATTTTTTCAAAGAACTGTGGATCTTTCCTGTGTCTTGCTAACGTTGTGTGACAAAAAGCAACTCGGGGCTCACAATCCCGGGGCAGGAGAGGTTGAACACGCTTTATGTGGTATGGATGAAGCACATCACTTACTTGCTATTGGACACTTTGATACCGATCAGTACTCTCGTTTACTGCTCATCTTTACATGTTCGTGCTTGTTGATTTCGTATTGTTACTAATTTTGGATTCGTGAACTGGACTGTTGATCGCTTGTGATTTGGATTTGGACTGTTTAATTGCTCTTCAAAACAACATTTGCTTTCCTTAGACTATCTTTGATAGTGTGATTGTGCAGTGCCGCTATGTCCGTGTACACCGTACAAGAATATGCTAACATGCACCTCATTTATGGGGAATGCAGATGCTACGCTAGTGCTGCAGCGAGACTTTACTGTGAGAGGTACCCGAATGCAGCTCGTCATCTAGATCATCGAGTGTTCACAAATGTGCACCGCTTACTGTTCTCAGAGGGCCAACTACCAAACCAATCACACGGTGAGGGAAGATGTTTCCTTCCTTACGAAGACGTGGTGCTAGGAGCTGTCGAAGAAGACCCGAGTACTTCAGTGCGTGCAATAGAACTAAAAATAGGTGTGCCCAAAAGTACAGCCCATAGAATCTTGCAAAAAAAACGTGCTCCATCCATACCACGTACAGCGTGTTCAAGCTCTTCTGCCCCGGGATTATGAGCCCCGAGTTGCTTTTTGTCGCACAATGTTAGAAAGACACAGGGAAGATCCACGGTTCTTTGAAAAAATTTTATGGTCAGATGAGACCACATTTAAGAAAGATGGGTACATGAACCTACATAACTTACACGAGTGGCACGTAGCAAACCCACATTTGATGAGAGAAGATAAATCTCAATATCGCTTCAAGATAAACCATTGGACAGGAATTTTAAATTGTTTGAGTTCCCAGAGACTTTGACTGCTGAGGTTTATTTAGGTTTTTTGCAAAATCATTTAGAAAATTTATTGGAGGAAGTGCCACTGAGTATTTACAGGGACATGTGGTTGCAGCATGATGGCTGCCCAGCGCACTATGCACTCTCAGTGAGAGAGTATCTCGATCAAAACTTTCCAGGCAGATGGATAGGGCGGTCTGGTACAATACCGTGGCCAGCCCGATCACCTGAATTGAATCCTTTAGATTTTTTTACTGGGGAACTGTAAAAGAAAAAGTGTATTTCAAGCCGATTCAAAATGTAGCTGAGCTACGGTAAAGACTATTGGAAGCAGCTGAGTTTGTTAATAACCGTGGATTCGCTCGTTTAATAACCCGATCTTTTTTAAGAAGACGTCGTGCGTGTATTGCGGCTGAAGGAAAACAGTTTGAGCATTTGCTGTAAAGGTAAATCATCATCAGCAGCATTTTGACGCCCACTGTTGTGGAGACAGTTATCCTTAAAGGTCCTTGTGCGTTGTCATAATCGCTGTTTAATTAGGAAATTTTGAAAAATTTTCATCAGTTTTTCTTCAAATAAAAATTGTGCATAAGTTAACGAGTAGTCTTCTAAGTGTTATACCATTTTGAAATCCTTATTAAATGCGCCAACTTTTAAGGTTACTTGCCAAACTCTCGTAATACATTTTTTTCCAGTACAGCCAGTTAAAGTTGAGCAACGTTTTACTTTGGAATACTTGGTTGGGAAATAAGTGGCAATTTTTCCTGAACGAGAAAAGTTGGCAGTATAGTTGAGACACCAGTTTGAAGATGCATTATTCATCATTACATTGTAAAAATAAAATCCAAAAAAAGTTAATATTTGTAGTAACAGGAGTTGACAGACGGCCGTAGGGTGTGAAATTTCTATATTTTTTTCAAAGACCTATAATTTTCAAAACACATACATAACATTTTTTTAAATATTTTTCTGATAGCTGTTATGACTTTGCCTATCACCCGGTTTCGGCTTGACGTCGACTTCTGGGACACCCTGTATAAGTATTTTGTTGCCTTCCGAATAATACTTTTTTTATTGTTTTTATTTGTATCACTATATGTCATTACATATTCGGATAGGCCCTCCCAAAAGAAGAAAACTGATGTGTGTTTTGATGATTTTGTTGATTGGTTGTCGAGTTATAAACGACTCAATATCCAAAAATTCTTTCGCTGTCTGCATTTGCTTCAACTCCACTTATTACAGCTATATACATGCCCATTACAGCACAGCCATTTGAAGAGTTGCATTACCAAATAAAGAGCCAACCTTCCGAAAAATCTATGACTCGCCTTCTACTGATGTCTTATTTCCCGAGTGGCTTCTGGTCCCGCCTGATCTCCCGTATTCTGGCAGACGACACGATCATAGATATTATCAGATCCATTTTCATGCCACCGAAAGAAGTTTCTCAGGATCCCGATCTGGTGAGGCTCCTGGATTTGAAGGCGGAGTGGGTGCTATGGCAAACGGGATTGCAGCTGAAATATGGAGATATCACGCTGTTCAGAATGAAGGAGGTGTTGCATAATAGTGCTGCGCATTACAGGCAGTTAAGGTACTACTCTAATTCTTTAAATCCTAAACAAAGTGTCCCGGACGACCATGTCAATCCCTCGTTTGTATTTTTTATTTATTTATTTAATAACAATAACATCCAACAAAGAAAATCCATGGTGGTTATCTGAAATTTGGTTAACTTCTGATGTAATTTTGAAGGTGGTGTTTTTAGTTAAAAATCAGAACAGCTTATATTCTATGCTGTAGGTATAACATCTACTTTGCTGCATCTAAAAGGGCCAGTCACTTTACTTGATATTTTCAGAGAAATTTATGATTTTTTAAAATTAGTGTTCTAGGGACTGACACCAAACACGGTTATTATGTCAAATCACATTTTTTATTGCAAAATCAACCGTAGTAACAAATAATCTCTTAAGTTCACAAATTCTATGATTTATAATCACAGTACAGGATTTATTTTTTTAATTATACACTTGAAAATAATCTATCAATATTTCTCAAGAATCAAATTATACTTTGAGTTTAATACTTACAAACTAATAGTCCTTTAAAAATTAACAATTATTTTAAATAATCAGCTTTCTAAAGTTTTGAGTTACCAAATTATAATTTGAACACAACATTCAGACTTTCATTAATTATTATGAGATCACAAATATTTCGCACTTAAACTATCTAGTACCTCTTATTTATTTGTTTCACTATTTGTTTTACTTCTCGTAAACATTAATGGGTTTTTTAAATTTGTGAAGGACTGTATTTCTCTTGACGATTATATTAGCAACTGGCAGTTTTTCTATAACGTCTTCGTAAGGTACGTCGGCGATATCATTATCATTTATTTTAAATTCTGTGCCATCTTTATTGCAAACTTTAAGAAATGAAACGGGACCTCGGTTGGCCGCGTGGGTCAGAGTGTCGTGCTACTGATCAGCCGGCCGGCCGGGTCGCGAGTTCGAATCTCGCCTTCGCCATGGATGTTGTGACGTCGTGTGTTTGTCCATAATTAGATATATTCTATATACCAACCTAGTTTCTGGCTGCATGGCTTAGTCCTAAAGCCAAAAAAAAAGAAAAAAAAAAAGAAATGTAACTGTCAGTTCTCCATCTTCGTCATCATATTTTGAGCAAACTGCGGCGTATCGGTATTCTTTTCCCCTCATTATTAACTTAACTAGAACATAATCGCCACCGCCGTAGCTCGTTTTTGACTTTTCTTGTGCAATGTGGCTCATACTTGCTAACGGCATATCATCTTCAGAATCTGTGAAAATATCTGAAACTTGAAATTGGTTTGGTACGTAATAGTCCCCAACCTATAATGGTCACAACCGTCATTATCACAGAAGCAACTTAGTGACTTCAAGACAAGTTTATTAGGGTTATAAATATGACCCGAGACTTGATGCACCAAGAGAGTTCCTTTAAACGGTTTCTGCTCTTTCTCATGTTCCTTGATCATTTTGTTAACTTTTTCTATGTCGACATCTTCGATAACAGAGACATTTATATTTGGACACCTTTCTCGAAGCACAGCTACAAAGTCGTACAAGTTCGTAATGTCACCTCACTGAGCTATGAGTTGGTCTGCAGAGCGTTTGCATGTAGCTCCAATTCCATCAGGTGCCCCTTTCCCATGTCCCGCCTCATGGAAATTCCACGTATATTTTATAGCCAGTGGATAGAAATCTTGGATTCTGCAACCCAAAATATAAAACATTGTTTTATTTCTATATTGGGTTACAGGACCGTCACTCAAAAAATGCAGGTTTTCTACAGAGGATGGCAATCCTAAGAGGATAAATGTGCCCAAGTGGCTCCAGCTTTGTTTGATAAATTTAAAGACACAGTGCAATGGGATGTTACTTTATCCTTTGTGTAAACCACCACTGTATGCAAAGAATTTTGAGTCCTGGAGCCGCCAAAATGATACGACTGAATTTCTTGGTTGCATTTAGTTGTGTAGTTTTCTGAGAAGTCCATGTGAATTCCTGCATCCTTTTCTGTAAGTGACTCTTTCAAAGATTTATAGTTTTATATTGATGAACGATGTTCTGTTCATGTTGGAATAATTTTGAAAGATCACTCTCTTCTAATTGCATAACTAAATCACGAGGTGTTGAATTGCATATCTCTTTCTTATACTTTGTGACGTATCTATCCTGTTTAGTTTTAATGTCCTTAATCAATTCCTTGCTATGCTTCCATTGTTACTATGTATTATCAAACTCCTTATATGGTAAAATCTTCAATGAGCAGTCCTGGCAAGTTCTCGCTAAGCATTTTTCCGAGTAACGATCACAGCAAATTGTTTCCAGTGCAGTTTGATATGTGGCAAACTCAAGAACGTTTGCATTTTTTAAGGCACCTAACTTCAAATTGATGTTTTCATGAATAACACAAGCACAGGTATCAGGGTCTGTAAGCTTAAGCACAACAACCCAAAATGGACGCAATTTGCAAAAATAATTATACCCAATTTTCATCAAACTCGTATTGTGAAATTTTTGATGCAAGTTCTTCAACGAATCCAGCAAATATCTTTTTTGTTTTTTAATTTTTTTCCTGCCGCACAACGACTATTATTGTCATCTTCATAAAACTTGTGTATGATTTCTTCAACTCTATTTTTTTTTCGCATAGCTTCATATTTTGTACGATTAAATCCCATCTTTTTATATGTAATGGCTGTGTTTCCAAGTCTCCATATTTTATATTTATGTGTCAGTGGACTTGACAAAATCGTTTTTAAGCAGGTTTTTGTTTTGGGTGTCTGAATCTCTTTATCTAAAATTTGCCTTTGAATAATATCGCCAAAAAATTTTATCAATTCTGCTTTTTGATTAGGGTGGATGGCCATTTCTACAATTTTACTTTCTGGTGTCAGTGCTTGCTTCTTTTGTATCATTCTATATTTCAGTCTTCTGTTTCTTTGTTGTTCGCTGGCAAGTTTCTTCTTTAAATTTCCAATGAGTAAGTCCTTCCTCTTCAACATACTATTTCTTTTTCTCCGTTGAACTATACTCCTCCTTCTAGCTTCAGCTTCTCTTTCATTATTTAATAAAGGAATAATTTCATCTTCCGATGATGGCGGCGTATTTTGGTCCACGTATTTATCTGTATTGTCACGAATCTTTTGTTTTTTTCTATAATCAGATGAATAGGCTACCCAATATTTTCTTGCCTTTCTGTGCTCACGGGGAGTCATGTCTTTTACACACTTCCGTTGTCCTTTTTCCTTTTTCTTTAGATATTTTAGTCGTTCCTTTTCTTTGTACTCCGCCAGCAAAAAAGGATCATTTTTAATTTTTTCCAATCGCCTCTTTGCCTGTTCAGACTTTTTTTTTGCAATGTCCTCTTTAGACAATGTTTTTTTCTTTATAGGCGCCATATTCTACAACAAATACATTGGTATTATGATTAAAACTATGCATCACACAGTATGATCATCAGTCCCTAGATGTGGCATCAGGCCCTAGTCACTATTACGACTAGGGCCTGACGGTCTAGGGACTGACGAAACGAAGCAAAATCAAATGAAAGCTTAATTTTAAATCACTATAAAATCAATAGGCGGTCTAAATGACAAAGCAGACCTAGCTCATACATTCAATAAGTAATGAGATCAATGAGTAATTATATATGTTTAAAACGACTTACCTAGGGCCTGAGAGTACGACTGGCACAGCACGTGTTTCCGCAGCAAAGTCGGTTACCACACTAATAGCAAAATTGCTGCCGCGGCTTGGCTCGTGTTTGCAACCAACTACACACCGATGCTACCGTATTGAGTGAGTTATGAATAAGTCATATGTTTTCATGCGGAGTATTTTTGAATTTTGTAAATGACTAGGGCCTGATATTTTTTATCGCTTACACTTTTTGACTTGAAATAATGTGATCAAACAAAATTATTTTATACATTAAATCGTAATGACAATGTAAGCAATGTAATAGTAAACAAATTTAAATAGAGTTTCATCAAATTATTATTTAATACAATAAGATTACAGTGCCGTGAATACTAAATTTGGGAGATCTTACATGGCTAGTGCCTGATATTTGGAGAAAAAAATGTCAATTTATTGAAATAAAGAATATTATGATATTTATCAAAATTGGTGACCGAACTAAATAGACTATAAAATATCGCTTAGTAGTTTCAGATATAGGATATATATTTTTTAATATTGTGAAAATTCATGCTAACACCAAGTTAACCAAATTTCAGTTAACCACCCATATACAAAAAATTATAAATACACATAAATATATAACACAACAATATAATTCCTCTTCATCAAGGACATCCTGATGACAGAAAGATGCACCTAGATGGTTCAAACCACCTGTAAGTGCTTTCATCATCCGGACTTACAAATAAGAAGAAAATGCTATTTATTGGATTATAAAATACAATAAAAAACAGTAATCAATCTCAATATCCCGAACAATAGTACAATCATACTACGACACAAAAAATCATTAGAAAAACCTTTCTATTCTCAAAAATATATTCTCTGCAGCTGGTGCTAAATGTTTTAATATTTTTCAACTTTTTCAAGTGTTCTGGCAGAATGTTATATATCTTTGGTCCTATATACGTTATGTATCTTAAGTTTAGGTTATTGTTATTCTTGAGAATTTCTATTTGCCTGCCCGCATTTGCACGAGTACAGTATTTATGACACTTGTTTCTGTAGTTTTTCATTTCTATAAATAAAAGTAGATACTGTCATCACGTACAAGGATCTAATATTACACACATCCTTTGTATAAAGTTTATTAGTGGGAATCTTTTATCTTTCTTAAAAATAATTTTAATAATATATTTCTGAATAATAATGAGTTTATGTAGCGCATTATTGTACAATCCCCCCCATACTAATATCACATATCTAATTATAGATTCAACAAATGCTTTATAAACTGTTATTAAATTTTTTTTATGGAGAAAGTCACGCAGTAGATAACATTTATGGATTAATTTTCTAACTGTACTCGATACATAATCAACATGCGGCTGCCGCTTCAAATGTTGGTCAATAATGATTCCAAGGTATTTAGTTTGAGACACTTCCTGAACAGAATAATTATCATCCAACATAATAGTGCTGTAATTTGGTCTGTTTTTATTGGTCAACGAAAACGCAATATAGCTTGTCTTAGATAAATTCAATGTTAGTTTACTCTCTTGTAACCAGTCTTTTACCATACCTAGACCATACACTGTTTTACACTTTACATCCTCCCAACTAGAACCTGCAAAAAGAAGTACAGTATCATCAGCATAAGAAATAGTTAAAACCCTCGTGTCCAGGTTTAAGCATATTATTGATATAAATTATAAAAAGGAGCGGTCCCAAAACAGTACCCTGCGGGACACCAATCTTTATTATTTTTTCATTGCTTGTTATGTTATTTAGTTTTAGCAGTTGTGGTCTGTTTGAAAGATAATCCCTCAGTAAATCATAAGCCCCTCCCCTTATACCATTGCTGTGAAGAATTTCGATTCGCTTATCATGAGGAACCGTGTCGAAAGCCTTGGCAAGGTTTTTTTTTTTTTATATCGAAACAGCCGCGCAGGCAGAAGCCTAAATGCCGGAACACCGCGGCTGCTATGATGATCCCAAAGAAACCTTGTTAATACGATTTTTGAACTGCCTAAGGTTAGTAGAACTGGGAAAAGCTTCCTCCCGTAGTTTGTTCCACAATCTAGATACCCTCGGGATAAAGGAGCGGTCGTATCGGCCAGTTCTGGATGTACGAAGTTTGACACGGTTAGGATGGGACGCCGAAGTCAGGCGGGTCTGTCTGGCAGGCACATCGCGCGGCGGCATCATGGAAGAGAGCTCTGAGGAGCAAAGCCCGTTGGTGTAGCGATAGAAAAGAGCTAGATCGCCGACGGCCCGCCGGTGCGAAAGAGTCCCGAGACTGTCTGTTAGAGAAGAGTCATCGATCAGTCGGACCGCCCTCCTCTGGACAGCATCGAGCATGGACAATGTAGTCGGGGCGGCAGCACCCCAAATGTGTGAGCAATACTCGAGGCTAGGCCTTATCTGGGCCTTGTATAGAGTGAGAAGGTCATGCGGAGAAAAGTACTTCTTAGCCCTAAACAAATATCCTAGCTTTTTCCCAGCAGCTGCACCTATTGAAGAGATGTGTTCGTGCCAGATCAGGTCCTCGGTGATCTGGACTCCGACCAACCGAAATGAATGGCTCTTTGGTAGAACTCGACCGTCCATCGAAACTGTATGAGCGCTAAGACGCTTTTTGTTCGTCAAAGTACAGTACTGTGTTTTGGAAGCATTGAACTGTACAAGATTGTTGCGTCCCCAAGCAGTGATAGCCTCCAGGTCTCTTGTCAGAGAAGAAGTCGTCGCTAGTCTTCTTTTTTCCAGCTCAGCGGCAGAGATCGGCTTGTCACTCTGAATTCCTGCATGTAGAGTGCTGTCATCAGCGAAGCTGTGGATTGGGTTGATCGTGCAGGAAAGGAGGTCGTTGATATGTAAGAGAAACAGTGTTGGAGCCAAGACCGATCCCTGGGGAACACCCGCGTTGACGTTGTTTGATGAAGAGGAGAATCCGTCAATTACGACGGATATCTTGCGGCCAGAGATAAAGTCAGCCACCCATCTGCAAAGCTTTTCTGGGAGGCCGTAGGATGGAAGTTTGCTCAAGAGGGCAGCGTGCCACAGCTGATCGAACGCTTTCGTGATGTCAAGAGCAACGACATGAGCCTCACCATGAGACTGGATGAGTTTACTCCACAGTTGCGTGACGTAAGCTAGGAGGTCCCCTGTGGATCGTTGGTGCCGGAAACCGTACTGCCTGTCGCTAATCAAGCTGTGACGTTCGAGGTAGTCCAGAAGCTCGCGATTTATACACCTCTCCATTACTTTACTTATACCAGAAAGCAGAACTATAGGCCTGTAGTTGTAAGGGTCGGTTTTAGATCCTTTTTTTGGGATGGGCTGTACATGAGCAAATTTCCAGTTTTCTGGGAAGGTGCCGGATTCATAAGATATCTGGAAGAGACGCGAAAGAACTGGAGCAAGCTCAGCTGCACATCTCTTCAGTACAATGGCAGGAATCAAGTCCGGACCAGAAGATTTGTTGATGTCGAGCGACAAGAGCACTCGTCTTACGGTCTTATGCCTGAATGTTACCTCCCGCATAGTGTGGGGAACCCTTTGAATTGACGGCACTTGGGCGTTGGTGGGGACGTCCATGGTGAAGTTGGCAGCAAAGATCTTGGCTAGCACTTCCGCCTTGGCCTTTGAGTCGAATACAATAGATCCATCCTGGCACGTAAGTGGTGGAAGGCTACTGTGTGAGAAGTTCTTTTCAATCTGCTTGGCCAGCGTCCAGAAAGACCGACTGCCATTGCGCTGCGACATTACCCTGTGCCTAACTTTTATATCATGCTGGGTTTTGGCATTGCGAACCGCTTCGTTATATTTGTTTCTGGACTCGACGTCGGCTTGTCTGTTCTCTACAGTGGGGTTTTGTAAGTAGGTTCTGTGGGCCTTGATCTTCTGCTGGCGAGCAGTGTCACACGATTTGTTGAACCAGCCGTTGGACCCTGGTTTAGGAGCTTTCACTGTGTGAGGGATGTATTCCTCCATTCCGACGTGGATAATTTCGGTTATTGAAGAACAGACAGTCGACGCATCCGCGTCAGTGAAACAGACATCTCTCCAAGGAAAGCTAGAGAAGAAGTCTCTGAGCCCCTCCCAGTCGGCATGTCCGTAATGCCAAGTTTTGCGGCCTGTGCGAGTTTCTGCGGCCACAGCGGCTTCTGACCGAAACCTAACCTCCACAACACCGTGATCTGAGTTACCCAGGGGGGACAGGACGGCAGTGCTGTAAGGGGCAGGATGCGTGGTCAGAAAGAGATCCAGCAGGCTACTGGCGTGTGACGAGACACGGGGGAAAAAAGTAGGGCTCGTCACCAGCTGGGTCAGCCCTTGAGTAAGAGCGAACGCTTCGACTGCACGACCTGCTGCATCGGTCTTATTTGAGCCCAACCAAAGCTCATTATGGGCATTGAAATCACCGAGAAGAACTACCTCTGAAGCGGGGTGATTGATGTTCAGGAAGTCGATCTGGACGGCGAGGTATTCGAGTAGGTCATCCCAGTTATGGTTCGAGGGAGAGCGATAAAGGCAGCAAATAAATTTGGGTGATGTTTTGGAGTTGAGGCGAAGCCACAGAATGTCCTTCCGGTCTGATTCCAAAGAATGATCTCTGGAGCAGGAAAGACTGCTGCGGACAAAAGCCACAACTCCCCCGTTCTTTCTCAGATTGGAGTGCACCTCGTAGTTTGGGAAGTTGAGATGGTTAATCGGTGCAGCCTCTGAGATTTTTGTCTCCACCAAGAAAAGCACGGCGGGACGATTGGATTGCAGGTAGTGATGAACAGCATCAATGTTGCTGTTGATCCCGCAGATGTTCGAAAAACAAATTTTATCTTCGATGTTGTTCCCTC